TTTTTTTAAATTATGTTTTAGTAATTTTATGGTGGTGGCATGCAGCCAGTGCTCTTAACTGCTGAGCCATCTCTCCAGCCCCGAATTTCTCTTGGTGTTTTGTTTGTTTTTCAAGACATAAAGCCCTGGTTGTCCAGGAATTTGCTCTGTAGACTGGGCTGGCCTCAAACTCCGAGATCTACCTGCCTCTGCCTTCTAGTCCTGGGATTGAGGGCGTGTGCCACCACTGCCCGGCTTGAGGTTCTGTGGAGCCGGCTCCTACACCCTTCTACCTTAGTGTTTGAGACAGTCTCTGGCTTTGGCTGGCTAACTCTGAGCTCTGAGATCCTCCAGCCCGTGCTTTTCTAGCCTGGGCTTACAGGCATACACAGCTGTGCTCGGTGTTTCTGTGGTGCTTGTGCCACAAATGCTTCGCTCGCTAAGCCAGCTCTCCAAGCGCATGATTCTTGAGGGGCCTTGAGCTGCAGGACCCCTGACAGCCCTAAGCCTGCCGTTTCATGGAGAGCCATTCTCTGCTCAACACCTGAAAGTCCTCCCCAGGGCTAGCTTTGCTTTACTTTAAAATATTTTCGTTTTTTGAGACAAAGTTACACGTAGACCAGGATGGAACTCACCATGTAGCCAAGGATGCCCTTGCATCCCCAATCCTCCTCCCCCTCCTCTGTCTCTCAAGTGCTGGGGCCACAGGTGAGCACCTCACACCAACCTTAGCTTCTTGTTTGTTTGTTTGTTTGGTTGTTTTTTTGAGACAGGGTTTCTCTGGGGAGCCCTGGCTGTCCTGGACACGTTTTGTAGCTCTGCCTGTCTGCCCCCCCAGAGTGCTGGGATCACAGGCGTGTAGCACCATGCTGGCCCACCGTAGCTTTATCTTAGTGTTATCTGGGCTTGGGGCCTGTGTTTTTTCTGGGGTCCCCACAGGAATGGGAATGGCTAGTTCAAGTTAAACATATACCTCAGGACCTTTGCCCTCTCCATCCCCTTCTACCTTCCTGGATGCTGTTCTCCTAGGAGCAATTATTTCAGTGACTCCTCCTTGTCTGTTTAAATTACCTTCTCTAAGAATGCTGCTGTGACCAGCCATCTAAAATCATTTATTCGTGGCCATGATGAAGCGAAACAAGAGCTGTTTAAACACACAAAGGCAGTGCAGTGCCGCCAGTCTGTGAACCCAGGGGGCTACTGAGTAACTAGCGGAAGGGAGGCATACAGAGAGTGGAAACACGTGCTCTGGGCAGGACAGCGAGCAAAGGGAAGACACCTCCTCACATCGCTGAGAAGAGTGCACAGTTGAGAACTTAGGGATTGAGGTGGTTGAGGGCGGGAGGCCTGTGGACAAGATGCCTGTTTTACACGAAGCTCTGAGCCCCAGTCCTCAGCATACATAAAACGGAGCAAGGCGCCTCATGCCTATAAGTCTAGCACTTGGGAGAGGGACGCAAAGGGGTCAGGAGTTCAAGGTCATCCTCTGCTGCACAGGTCACGACCTGTGGGTTGTGACCTGTGGCAAAGTGTCAGAGATCCTGCATCTCAGACGTTTACATTACGATTCATAACAGTAGCAAACTACAGTTATGAAGTAGCAACAAAATAATTTTACGGGTCACCACAACATGAGGAACAAAGGAAGGTTGAGAACCACTGCTTTGTTACATAACAGAGAGCCCGGCTTCGGCTACGTGAGACCCCGCCAGCTCTAAAAACAAATCAGGCCGGGGTAGAGCTCCGACTCCATCCCCTACAGAAACTAGGTGTGGTGTGCATTCCCATAACCCCACCTCTCGGCATGCACGGGCAGGAGATTGCCACTAATCTGGGGCCAGTTTAGGTTACAAAACAGGACCCCGTCACCAAGAAACAAGTCTGGAATTTCCCATAGAAGATTTTCTGAAACTTCAGAAAGCAAACCTCTGGAAAAGCGGGGACCCCTGTGCCGAGGAGGGTGACCGAGATCATAGGTGTCAAGCCGAGGCTGAAATTTCACGGAAGGATGCTGCTACTTCAAGCCGAACGCTGAACTTGCTCATCTTTTCCGAGGTTTTCCCAGTTTGACTTGGGGCGGGGAAATCCGGCCAAATTCAGATAGAGCCTCCCGGGGCTGGGCCCAAAACTAAGGGGCTGGGGCGCCACCTAGTGGTGGATCGAGGTTTGTGCAGGACGTGTGTGTGTGTGTTTGTGTGCGCAGGTGCGCTTGTGTTTATGCCTGCATGTGTGCATAGAAAGAACATATAAAGTACATATAAGAGTCAGTTGGGGCTCCCCAAAAGCACTCCATTTGTTTTGTTTGGTTGGTTTTGGTGTTCCAAGACAGGGTTTCTCTGGTCGCCTTGGCTGTCCTGGAACTTACTCTGCAGACCAGGCCAGCCTGAAACTCACAGAAATCCCCTTGCCTCTGCCTCCCGAGTACTGAGATTAAAGGCATTCGCCACCACAGCCGTACTTTGTTTTCTGTTCGTAAATATGAATCACTTTTATTTATTTGGGAAGGGGAGAGTTCTTGGCTCAGAGGACAGCTTTGGGGAGTCAGTTTTTTCTTTTGCTGTTTGGCTTGCGGGGATGGAGCTCAGGTCTTCAGGTCTGGAGTCAAGCCGTTTTAGTCTCTGAACCTTCTCGTCCACCTAACCTGGTCTTTCTGAGAGAGGATCTCTCGCTGTCCTGCAGCTTACCAAGTGTGGGGCTGGGTACAGTCACGCTGGGTACAGCCACAGGTTGTGCTCCCACATTCAGAGAGCCGAGAATCCACACAAACCCCCAGGACGGCAGCAGTCCTGTTACACTTCCGCCTCAGGCCAGTCTGAGAGGAAGCAGGAAACGCCAGAGTGAAGCTAAGGGAGGTGATGAGGTGTGTTTGCAAAACACCAGCAACACCTCAACACCAGCAAACCCGGGAGTCTCCTGGTGCCTGCTCCCTCGCAAACCCCCTCTCCGTATGTGTGTGTGTGTGTGTGTGTGTGTGTGTGTTAGCATGTGTGTGGGTGCATGCACATGTGAAGGCCAGAGGCTGGCATCCGGGGTCTTCCTAGGTTGCTTTCTGTTTTATGTTGTGGCTTGATCTCTGCGGATCCGGCTAGTCTAGCAAGTCAGCTACTTCTGAAGATATGGGGTCTCTGAAGATCCCATTTCCACCTTGGGAGTGCTGAGATTAAGCAGCCCGTGGCCGCCTGACATGCCTTACATGGGCACTGGGAATCTGAAGTCAGGTCTTCACCCTCTGAGCCATTTCCCCAGCCCCTGCTTTCTTTCCTTTTTAAAAAGTTTGTTTGTTTGTTTTTGTGGGGGCATGTGTCCGTCTGGAGGTCAGAGGACAGCTTGCAGGAATCAGTTCTCTCCTACTGTATGGGTCCCAGGCTAGATCTCAGGTCATCAGTCTTGGCCAAAATCACCTTTAACTGCCAAGCCATCTTGCCAGCCCCTTTACACACAGTTCTAGTGATCTGTACGACTGGGTGCTAAGTTCCACTTTGAAGACAGAACTATAAAATGTCACTGCACAAAAATAAAGAAATACAAATTTAAAGACAGTTGAGGCCATGGAGAGGATACACAACTCGTCATCCCCGAATCCCAGGGTGTTCCAGTTAACCTCAAGAAAAACACAGTAGTGATGGAGCGATGGCCCTGCAGTTAGGAGCACCGCTGCTCTTCCAGAGGACCTGGGTTCAGTCCCCAGCACCCACATAGCAGCTCACAACAGTCTGTAACTCCAAAGCATCTGACATCTTCACATAGACACACATGTAGGCAAAACAACAGTTCAGGTGAAACAAAAATTAAAAAAATCGGGTTTATTATTATTATTAACAAAAGAAAGAAAAACACAGCAAACACAGCAAGAGATGGGAGCTTTCTCCCCCTTGTTTCTCTGGTAATTTCAGAGTGAGGCACTGAGACTCGGAGGACACAGCTTACGGTGGAGCATCTGACAGTTTGCAAGTCCAAGACACAGATGCAAGCTGGACGTGGTGGTGCATGTCCGCCATCTTAGCCCTCTGAAGGCTGAGGACAAAAACTGAAAGTTGAAGGCAGGCATGGGCAACTTAGCAAGTCTTTGTTTCAAAATAAACTGAAAAGAGGCTAGGGGCATGGCTCAGCGGTACAGCCCCTGCCTACAATCCCAAGGGAGGGCCTGGAGACATGGCCAGGGCAGCACAAGCATTGTGGAGAGGTCATTCCCCACGCTGACATGAGCCGGACGTGCATGGGTTTGGGGGATGGGAACTCAGGTTGGGTACGAGTTCCTACGAGGTGTGAGGTTAGAGGTGAGTACAGAAAGGATTGTTGTGCTCTGGCTAGAAAGACCTTGAATTCCAAGTTAAGGATTTCAGAATTTGTTGAGTTGTCAGTAAGCAGCAGTCAGGGCTGGAGAGATAACTCAGTGGTTGAGAGAACTGGCTGCTCTTCCATAGAGCCCAGTTTTGGTTCCCAGCATTCACATGCAGCTAGGAATCACCCGTAACTACAGTTCCAGAGAAACAGAAAACCTTTTCTCAGCCATCCCCACCCCAGCCCAGGCACCAGGCAAGACACCCATACACATAAAACACACACACACACACACACACACACTGATAAATGATCATAATGATGAAGGATTGTCCTGACTTCAAGACCCTGTCTCTCAAAACAAACAAGGCTCAGCATTAGTTTTGAGATGGCTCAGTTGGCAGCCTGCGGTTCCAACCCATGAGCAGAGAAGCTGGCGTGATGGAGCACTCCTGAGATGCCTGAGATAGGGAGGTGGAGTCCATTTGGCTCTATGGCAAGTTAGAGGCTACCACCGGGCTACATGAGGTGATGTTTTAGAAAAGCAACAGTAACAACAACAACAACAACAAAAAAAATCAAAACTCGATTCAAAGTTCATCAAAGTTCAACATCTCCAGTATGAAGTTAGAAAACCCAGCATGACCTGTGTTTACCCAGTCTGGGAACTTGCACATTCTCTTGCTCACTATTGTGACTACAGAGACCTCTGTAAGTCACAGCATAAATAAAAGAGTCAGGCATGGTGGTACCTTTAATCCCAGCATTCCAGAGGCTGAGGCAGGCCAATCTCTGTGAGTTCAAGGCCAGCCTGGTCTACAAAGCAAGTTTCAGGGCAGCCTGTGCTGTTACACAGAGAAAACCTGTCTCAAAACAAACAAAAAGAAACAACAAATAAAAAGAATCTATGAGTTGTGGTGATCTATGTATGTGACCAGACGAGGGGTTACTGGGTTATGTGGGAAACCCTGCTGAAGTATTTCAGTGTTGAATAAGTTTCTGGCAAGGCTGGGTGTAGTGGCTCATGGTCCCAGCATCCAGGAGACAGACACAGGTAGATCTCTGTGAGCTGAAGGCCAGCCTGGTCTACATAGCGAGTTTGAGAACAGCTAGGGCTACATGGAGAGACCCTGTCTCCAAAAAAACCAAAATTAAAAAACAAAACAAAAACAAATAGAAAGAGGAACCAGCTACTGCAATAGAGAGAAAGAGAGAGAGACACACACATAGACACACAGAGAGACAGACCTAGACCCTCTGACCCTCAGACCCGTGCTGTGGCATACATCAAATAAATAAATAGTTTCTGGCAGATATGCAAATAAACTCTTCTGCCAGGCAGACTCCAGCTGTCTCTCATCCCTTGGATTCCTGGTGCCGTCTGGTTTTTCCTTCTGAGATGTACTCTGATGGCCGTAAGAGAGGCTCTCCTTGAGAGGCCAGTAGGCACTCTGTTATTGACATGCAGACGTCCCACACAGACTAAGCGTCTGGTCTTGTTGTTGGTGTGTGCGTACATGTGTAAAGGTGTAAGCCTGTGCGTGAGGGTGTGCCTTTGTGTGGGGGTTCACTTGTACGTGTGTGCACGTGCATTCAGAGGCTGGACGTCCTCCTTGACTGTCCTCCACCCTATGCACTGAGGTAGCCCCTCTCACTGAACCCAGAGTTCGTTGATTTGAGCGAGCTGGCTCCAGGGGTCCCCGGTGCCCTCCTCCAGAGCCCTGAGGCGGGCTAGCCAATGAGACACTGGCATTGTGTGGGTTGTGGAGCCAAACGCTTGTGTAGCAGGCGTTTTACTCCCTGAGCATTTTCCCAGACACCCCTGTCCGCACCAGGTGAGAGAGACAGAGAGACAGAGAGAGGTGGGGATGGACACCAGCGGCTCATATAGTTCGCCATGACCTTGAACTTTCTGACATTGAACCTCCTACCTCCGCCTCCAGAGTCCTGGATGACAGGTGTGAACTGCCACGCCAAGCTTTTGTGGTCCCAGGATGAAACCCAGAGCTTCACACCAGGGAAGCTCTCTTCCCACTGAGGCAAACCCCCATCCCCCTTTTTACTTTTTATTTTGAGGTGTGTTCTCATCCTTGATCTTCCTGCCTCAGCCTCCTGAGCGGCTGCCGTTACAGACCTGTGCCACTGGGCCCGGCAATGTCTGAGAGAAAACTGCCTTTTCCAGTGGCCGCCTTATGTGGAATAAGTGTTTGCTTTTACTCAGTTTCCGGGGTTGGCCCATCCCCGCAGCAGCAGGGAAGTCAAGCTGATGAGAGCCTGCAGGAGCTGGCTGCCTTGAACCCACCGTCAGGGACAGAGGGTGAAGAATGCAGTCTGCTGCTCAGCTGGCTTCCTTCAGTTTTGGACAGTTCGGAGAATGTGCCGCCTAGGGAATGGTGTTCCCCGTACTGTGCCGGGTCTTCCCATCCCAGTTAACATAATCAAGACAGTGTCCCACGGACATAGCAACAGGCCAGCCTAATCTAGACAATCCCTCCTGGAGATTTGCTTCCTGAGAGAACTAGACTGTCTGGCTCTCAATCAAGTTCACCATCAAAACTGACATCACGCCCACAGGAAGGAAGATAAACCTTCTGTGTTTCCTTCCGAAACTTCACTGTTAGATGGATAATCCATCCAGAATTGCTTGATGGTGTGTGTGTAGTGTGGGTGTGTATGTGCACCTTTGTGTAGAGGCCAGAAGTCACCCTCGAGTGTCATTACTCAGGAACCAGCTGCTTTAGTTTTTGGAGACAGTCCCACTGACCTGGAGTTCGTCGGGTAGGCTAGCCTGGCTGGCTAGTGAGGGGCAGGGATGCCCTGCCTCCTCAGCCCTGAGCTGCAGACACGTACCAGCATGCCTAGCTTGTTCTTCCTTTAAAGCTCTTTGTTTACTCTTTGACGATTTCATACATGTATACAACATATCCTGTCCATGCCCACTCCCAACTCCGTTCCCCTCTTCCCCTAATGTCCCAACACATGTTCCTTCCTACTTTTTAAAAGGCCCACAGAAATCAATGGGTGCTTCCTGCTGGTCTTGTTTGGGTCTTGTGTAGGTAAGCCTAGCTACAGAAAGTTCGTGAACGCAATGGCCATGCCGTGTCCGGAGGCCAGCATGTCCCAGCCTTCTCTCCATCCTCTGGCTCTTGCAGTCTTTGTACAGATGTCCCACTTACCACCAAGCGCTCAACAGTCCCTATGTTCAGCGTTTTGCAGTCCTGAGTCTCTGCATTAACTGTTGCACACTGCAGTTAGATCCTGGGTAAGGTTAAGGCCAGCAGTGATCTCTGGGTAGAAAGGTAAATACTTAGAAGGCAGTTTGACAACTTGTCCAATCAGTGAAACAACAGTGGCAGGTTAGCCCTATAGGTCTGACCTGCCAAGCCATGGGCTTCTGGCCAGGTTGACGGGACCAAGCAGGAATCCCCTTTTGTGCAGTAGACCTCAAATGCAGCAGAAAATGGTTGGTTACCTCAGTAACCATCACTGCAGTATTTGCATCAATGGGCACGTCTTGCTTGGCACGTTGGTAGGATTCAAGACTTTGTAAGACCAACAGTACTTTATGCTATTTTATTTATTGTATTATTATTATTTTGGTTTTTGAGACAGGGTTTCTCTGTGTGGCCTTGGCTGTCCTGGTCTCACTTTGTAGACCAGGCTGGCCTTGAACTCACAGAGTTCCACCTACCTCTGGCTCCCTGAATGAAGAATTGAAGCCACCATGCCTGGCTTCAATTATTATTATTATTATTTTTAATGTGGGTTCTGGGGGCCAAACTCAGGACCTACGCTTGCACAGCAAACATTACCCACTAACATACCCTCCCAGAACCCAGAGGACTGATGTTTGTGTATAGTGTAAGGTAGGAGTCTCTCCCACTCTTCTCCACTATGAATCAGTCCAAATGAATCAGCTCCATATGGACTCTGAGACCGAATGCTGGGTGACTTCGGGAAGGTTTCTCAGCATCTCTGTGCTTCTCCATCCATCCTCGTTTTTGTTTTTGTTTAATTTGCTGTTCTGGGGATTGAACACAGAGCTTCACGCATGCCGGGAAAGCACTCTACCACTGAGCTCCACCCGCAGCCTTGTTGACACATTTTCACTGTGGGGCTTATTGCTGAGAGTAGTAGTGCCTGCCTTTAGTTCCAGTGCTTGGGAGGCAGAGGCAGGTAAATGTCTGTGAGTTCAAGGGCAGCCTGCTTTACGTGGAGAGTTCTCACATCACCAGAGCCACACAGCGAGGCCCTGACTCAAAAAGATGGGCTGACGAGATGGCTCAGTCAGGAAAGTGCCGCTGTGTGCACTGTGTCCTAGGGCTGCAGGGACAGAAGGACTGTAGGGCCTCTGGCAGCCAGCCTGGCCCAATCGACGAGCTCTACATTCAAAGAGAAATCTTTGCTAAAACATAAGTTGGAGCCAGGAGGTGGTGGCATGCGCCTTTAATCTCAGCACTCCAGGGCAGAGGCAGGCGGATCTCTGAGTTCAAGACCAGCCTGGTCTACAGAGTGAGTTGCAGGACAGCCAGGACGACACAGAGAGACCCAACAAAACAAAACAAACCGAACAAACAAAGAAAAAGCCCAGAAGTTTGGCACCCATAGAGGAAGACATCTGGTCTACCTACTTGAGCAAGTGTGCATGTGCCCCACACTCCCGAATGTACACGAACACCCACACACAGAAGAGCTGGCTTTGGTTCTGTCCTGAAGAAAAGGACTGTGGAGGGTGGAAGAAGGGTTCAAAGGCCATAAGCTCTAGTTTCTGTGAGTCCATCAGGACCAAGCCTAGGGTGTGAGATAAAGCCAGAATTCTTTGGTGTGTGTACATTAGTCAGGGTTCACTAAGGAACAGAACTGATAGAATGAATATATGTGTATATATTCATTTACTTATTTAGGTTTGTCAGAGTGGCTCACAGGCTGTGGTCCAGCTGGTCCAGCAATGGCTGTCTGCCAATGGAAAGTTCAAGAATCCAATATTTGTTCATCCTATGAGGTGAGATGTCTCATCTGGTCTTCAGAATATATACCGGGATATCAAAGAAGTAGGCTCTAATGGCAGTGAAGGAATGAACACGCTAGTGGGAGCGAGGGCAAGCTGGCAAAGAGCAAAATTTTCCTTCTTCTATGTCCTCTATAGAGGCTGCCAGCAGAAGGTGTGGCCCAGATTAAAGGTGAATCCTCCCATCTCAAAGGATCTGCAATAGAAGTGAATTAAGAAAAAACAAACAGAAAACAAAACTCACAGGTGTATCTCCCCTCTTGAATTTTCGTTAATTTCAGATGTAGTCAATTTGATAACCAAGACTAGGCATCACACAGTGTAAGGATGGAAATATTTGTCAATTCACGGAAGCCACGAGGCGTCATTATAGCACTTGGATGTAGAGGCAGAAGGATTGTTGCAAGTTCAAAGCCAGTGAGGGCTTTGTAGCTGTGTAGCTAGTTCCAGGAGGGGCAAGAAACTCTGTAAAAAGAGACTGGGGTGTAGCTCAGTGGGTAGAGCACTTGCCTAGCTTTGCAGAAATCTGGGTTCCATCCCCAGCTTTGACTAAATCAAGGGTAGTGGTGCAGGCCTATTATTCCCAGCACAGGAGGTGGAGGCAGGAGGATCAGGAGTTCAGGGTCAACCTTCCTTGGCTGCGTAGTGATTTCAAGGCCAGCTTGGGTTATGAGAGTCTGTCTCAAAAGAGCAAAGCAAAACAAAACAAAATAAACAAGGCTGTGTCACGCAGTCATGGGTGATATACCCTACAGCAGCTTGTCTGGATGTGGAGCCGACCCCTCACCCAGTCGGGGCGGCTCTGTCGCCTGCTGCCATCCTCACTTTGTTCCAGGGAATCTACGAATCTACCTTCCCTGCCTCTATTGATTTGCCTCTTCCTGGACATTTTCTATCACTGGAATCCTAAACTCCGTGGTCCTTTCTCCCCTGCTTCTTTTCCTTAGAAGAATGCTTGCAGGCAGGCTGGAGTGGGCGTGATGGTTTCTCCTTTGTGAGGCTGACACTGTTAGATCAGTGTCCCGATCTGTTTGGGCACTCTCCAGGTGACGGGCAGCCGGCTTAGTCATTATTGGAAAACCCACCGCTGTGAATGTCACTTGTGTGTCTTTCTGCAAACTCACCCTTTGATTGCTCTGGGGCAGACGGAGCCTTGGGTTTCCCGACAAGTTCCTGCATGGCTTTCTCAGCAGTTACTAAGCTGTAGCTCAAAGCAGTGGCAACATTTGCTATTCCTAGTGGCAGTTAGGGGTACCAGTATCGCTGATGCTTGATACCCTCTGTTTAGCCAGGATTTCCAATTTGCTACAGAGCTACAGTATGAAGATGAGGCTGGTCCTGAACGCTGGATCCTCCTGCCTCGATCTCCCATGTTGTGGGATTATAGGTGGTTTATGCAGTGCTGGGGAGAGAACCCAGGGCTTCATGCATGTAGGGAAGCATTTTACCAACAGAGACAGCCGAGCCCTGATACTGTGTGTGTGTGTGTACACGTATATGAAGGCCCAGGTTGATCTTTCTCAATCACTTCTCTATTTCATTATTTTTGAGACAAAGTCTCTCATTAACCCTGAAACTCACTTACCTAGCTATGCTGCCTGGAGAGTGGGCCCAGGGGTCTTCCTGTCTCTACACCGCATTCCCAGGACAGAGAATACAGACATGGGCCACCATGGGGGCATTTTATATGAGTTCTGGGAATCTGAACTCAGGACCTCATTTACTCTTTTGTAAACTATTTGCTTTAGTGTGTGCCTAATTGTTCAGAGGGACAATCAGGAACCCTGGGCATCCAGAAAAGGGCATTGGATCCCCTGCTACTGGAGTTACAGATGGTTGGGAGCTGGCACATGGCACTGAAAGGTTCTCTGGAAGGGCAGCCAGTGTTTTCCCCAGCCCTCTCTGACACTTTTTTTTTTTTTTTTAAGAGTGTTCTATCTGCATTTACACTTACCAGAAGAGGGAATCAGTTCACATTATAGATGGTTGTGAGCCACCATGTGATTGCTGGGAATTGAACTCATGACCTTTGGAAGAGCAGACAGTGCTCTTAACCACTGAGCCATCTCCCCAGCCCCCTCTCTGACACTTCTTAATGGTGGTGATTGTAGTGGGTCTATGAGCTGTTTGTCCCATGAAAGGCACAGGCGGGGTGTCTGGGAAACAGATGGATGTGGAGGTGTGAACTCTGGGTGGAGATTCAGACCACAAATAAGCAGAGGTGTGCTTAGTCAGCCATTGATGAGCCTGTCGTTCTGGCTCTAGGAGGTAGAAGAAGGAGAATCAGGAGTGCAAGGTCACCCTTGGCTACACAGGCCAGCCACATAAGACCCTGTCTAAACAAAAGGGGGTGAGGGCTGGAGATGCAGCCCAGTGGTGGGGGTTTGCCTAACATGTATGAAACTTCGGATGTCTGATCCCCAGCCCTGAAGAAAAATACCTGAGAAATAAATACTTAAACAAGGTAAAGGCAGGTGGTGCTAAGCGCTCTGACTTCAGGAGTTGGTTAGGGAAGTTTCTGCAGGTAATTTTCGGGCCATATTGGAGCTAGGGCTATGAATCTGAAACATATGTATGCGCTTAGCATGTATGAAGCCCTGGGTTCTGTCCCAAGCAGAGAAAACAGCAAACACAACTAAAAATAAACACAAAAAATGACATTCAGGTCTGAGGACATGGCTCGTCACACAAGGATGAAGACCCAAGTTGAGATGCCCAGGGTCCATTTTAATGCTGGGCAGGTGACCCAAACATCTGGGAGACAGAGACAAGGAGTTGTTTGCTGTCTAGACCAGGGCTGGCAAGTTCTCGGTTTGCCTGAGGGACCCTGGCTCAGTATTGATGGAAAAAGACACCTGATAATGACTCCAGGTACAGACACACGGGCAGGTGCATCCCCTCCCCCCCACATATCATGTACTGTCCCTCACATGCAAACACACATATACATATGAGTACTCAGAAAACGATGCCCCAGTCACTCAGGGTCAAATCAGGGAAGCAAGCCACATTAGGGATCTCAGTGTGACACTGTTTTATATGGTGTTTCCCTGGGCTGAAGCAATGACTACACACTCAGATTCAATACTCAGGAAACCTGACAACACGCCACAGCAGTTGTGACAAGGGTGTGTGATGGGGAGGGGCTCCGGTGTGAGAAGAGGGTATCCACATCAGAGACACCCTTCCCCCACGGGCCCTGAGATGTCGCAGCTGTTAAAGGCTTTGCGAAACAACTTCAGGGACAGTGTCTGAATCCCAGCACTCACGGAAGAAGTCACATAGCATCCCACACATGCTAGGACGGAACCTTTGAGGGGACACAGGAGCAGAAGGAGCCCTGGGGCTTTCAGGCAGAGACTGTGCCTCCAAGGAATGGGTAGGAAGTCACAGAGGATGCCCTCTTCTGGCCTCCACACAGGTACCAGGACCCAGGGAACAAACTCCCACAATTTGTCTTCTGACTTCTGTGCCCCACTGCATACACAAATAAACATGTAAATAAGTTAAGTCAATAAATAAAGTAATTAAAAAATTGAAAAAGAAAAAAAAAAAAAAAAAAAAAAAGAAAGCCCCACTCCCACCCCAAGCAGAAAGAAAGCCCTTCCAGGGCTTGAGCCGAACAGGACGCCGGTGGGGAAAGAGTCCTAGGAAACGCAGCTTTCTGGAGGACAGGGCATGATGCTTAGCCCCACCACAGAGACTTAAGTGACGGGCATGAGCAGGCCCCCTGGATCTCTGCAGAAAAATGTTTATCAGATCTCAGGGACAGAAAATGCAAAGATCCTGAGACTGGGAAAAAAAAAAAAAAAAAGGATAAGCCAAATAAATGTGGAGAAACAGAGCATAGAGGCAGGTGGAAAGATCTAGATATTTAGGGACGGAGAAGGCAGAGAGACAGGGACAGACTACGAAATGATAAGGTGTTTCCAGAAGGTGATGAGTATGGAGACTAGAAAATTATTAAATTATGTTCTGTGTGTGTGTGTGTGTGTGTGTGTGTGTTCACTCCTCCTGCCATATGTGCCTGTGCCCTGTTGATCAACTCAGGATGCCAGGCTTGGTGGCACGTGTCTTTATCCACCGGACAATCTTGCCATCCCAGTACAGCTATTGGCATCGTTAGTAAGAGAGGCGTGCTCTGTGAGTGCTCTCAGCCCTCCTGAAGCCTGACTGTGTGAGCTTAGCTTGTTTCCTAGAGCCCAAGGGCAGGGGTTGAGGAAGCGAGGAAGCGTGTCATGTGATCTGAGAGTCTGATGACAGACTCGTCTGGTTTTAAACCACAGCGGGGTCCTCCTTTCTCGACCAAACAGCTCATTCCAGCCCAAGGGGTCTCTGCTTGCCCCAGGTCCTGTGCTGTTGCTCCCCAGCACTTGAAAATCTCCTGGTACTGAAATGGCTCCTCCCTTCGCCATCCAGTTTGCTTAACTTACCTTCCTTAGCCACCGTCCAAGTCAGACGTGAGGTCCCAGGGCTCGCTGCTGGGGAAGCTGAGGCAGGCCCTCCGGGGCTCCTAGACTGGCCAGCTTAGCCCAATCACAGAACTCCGAGCTCAGGGAGAGACCTTGTCAGAAAATAAAGTGGAGGCTGGATGTGGCAGCCCAAGCCTTTAGTCCTAGCATTAGGGAGACCGTGAGAGTTCAAGGCCAGCCAGGGCTACACAGTGAGGCTGTGTCTCAAAACTAACTAAATAAAAATCCAACTAAAATTAATTCATTATTTAATAAAACAAGGCAGAGAGGCACCGAGGAAGACACTCCGTGTAGACCTCTGGCCTCTACACGCCTGCACGCACACCTCGCAGGTCTCTCTCCGCTAATCCCCACCCACGTCCTTCTGATACCTGTTGGCACTTTTCCTCTGTTTCTTACGCCGCCTGACTTTCTTTTTACACGGATTTACTGTGCTAACGGTGTGGGATGGGCGGCTGCACGGCCACTGCCTCAAGTGGGGGTTCCAGGACAACTTGGGGGAGTCATAATCTGCTTTCACCTCTGGAGATCCAACTGAGGTTGCCCGGCTTTGTGGCAAGCACTTTCGCCCACTGAGTCATGGCTTCCCCAACCGTTTTTGATGATGGTGCGGAGGGAGCTGGGGCTTCAGACATGTTAGGCAAGCCTCTAGCCCTGAGCCACGTCCCGGCGGGCCCTCGGGGCCTTGTCTAGGTCTTGTCTGCCTCCCCAAGGCAGTATTCATGGACTTTGGTCTGTAGTCCCGCCGCAGGCTACCGCCAGCCCCCCCTGACTCACCAGGTCCCAGAACCACTTTACAGTTGAGGAAACTGAGACAGACCGGTGTAGCCACTGCTGGAGGTCACGTAGGGGCAGAACCTGCTTCTTAGAGGGGTCGAGACGGTTCAGGACCCCCAGCACCCCGATCGGGCGCTTCCGGCTCCCCGAGCGGCCCGTGCGGCAAAGGCCTGAGTCATCGCCGCCTCCAGACGGCGGCGGCCGCCGGCCGAGGGCGACGGCGGCGACGGCGGGAGGTGATGCGGGGACGCCAGGAGGGGGCGTGAGTGCAAAACCGAAGGAGGGCGACCGCGCCGGCGCTCCTCGCCCCGCCCCGCCGCCCGCTGCGCCGTCCGACCTCCCTCACCGAGGGACCAGCCCCGTGCAGGTCCCCCGGGGCGGGGGAGGGGGGCCGACGTGCAAGTTCCCCACCTCCCACCCCGAGTTCAAGTTTTGAGTCAAAGCCCGCGCTGGGACTTGCCTGGACGCGAAGGCAGCCCCTAGTGGCGCCGCCGCCCTCGGCTGCGCCGGGGAAGCCCTCCCACTCCCCAAGTCACCCGCACTCCAGACCCGCCACCCCGCGCTGCCCTGCTCCCGAGTCCGCAGAGGGATCCCCGTCAGAGCGACCCGGGGGCCGGGAAGCCGGGAGGAAAGAGCCCCGGCGCTCGGGAGAGCCCCGAAGTCCCGACCTCACCGCGCTCTGGGGCGTCTCGGGACTGGGCTCCGCACCCGGCCGAGCAGGTGGGTGGAGACGCCCGACTTCCACCCTCGGCCCGCTCGGGGTGGAAGGTGTGGGGCGGGCTCTCTTGGCCTGCCGCGTAGGGGTTTTGGAGAGGGGTTGTTGCGTGCAGGGGAGCCCGGGGGACTGCCACTAGGGTACGGAGGGGACTCGAGCGAGGACGGAGGATGTGGCTGGGGGGCGGGGCCGGGGATGCCGCGGCGGCAGCCGGGGGGTGGGGGGGAGGGGGGGGGGGGGGGGGGGAGGAAGGAAAGGAGAGAAGGTGGCTGGAAGGGGATGGTCCCCACTTCTGCAGGTTGGGGGCAGGTCCACCGGAGGCTCTGCGGGAAGGTGGGGGCGGGGTGGGTGCACCCCTGTTCACCCCCAGCCCGCTGGCTCCAGGGCCGGAGCCGTGACGTCACGGCGGCTGGAAGTGCCCGGCGGTGGCGCGGGAGGGGGTGGCCGAGCCGGCGCCTTATAAAGCTGAGCCCGCGAGGCGCGGGGAGCTGCAGCCGCGCGTCCCTAGTGTCACCCCCATCCCCATCCCGCCGGCCACCGCCCCCTTGGACCTGATCACCTCGCCGTCGGGACCCCCCCACCCCCCACCCCCACTGGGGTGGGTAAGCGACAGTTTGAGTGCGGAGCCAAAGGGACCGAACACCTGATTTTTGCGGCGGTGTCGCGGGGCATGAGGCGAGGGGCGCGATGTCGGTGCCGCTGCTGAAGATCGGGGCGGTGCTGAGCACCATGGCTATGGTCACTAACTGGATGTCGCAGACGCTGCCCTCGCTCGTGGGACTCAACAGCACCGTGTCCCGCGCGGGCTCCTCGGAGAAAATCGTGAGTGGCCAGCCGGGTTGGGGGGCGCTCCGGAGGGGGGGCGTGGTGCCCGCAGCCCCCGCGGCAGAGCCTAGGAAGGGGACCTCCCACACTCCCAAAGTGACAGAATTCCGGGTAGAGGCGGGGATGTCTTCTCTGGGGGACATGGTCTCTTGGGGGTCCTGGGCTGGACCCGGAGGCACAAGGGAGCCTGGTGCCCTGCATAGCTCTGGGTTTGATGATTGCTTTTGCTGGGCTAGAGTCCTTTTCTGAGGGGACCCGTTAGTGCCACCGGGGTACCAAGCTGGCTCCAGCCCCAGGCGGAGGCGGCAGGGCTGCGGAATTGAACCAGATCCCGGCAGAGTGGGGAGGAGCTGGGCGGTTTGGGGGAGCCAAGAGGGTGTTATGCTGTGTTGGAGTGGGTAAGGGACACCTCGGAGTCTCCATGTATCTTCAGCCTCTGGGACTCTGCTTGGCTGTGTCTAAGTGTCACTGAGTAGTGTTCTCTCTCTCCTTCCCTGGGTCTCCCCCCCCCCCCCGCCCCTTCTATTTCTGTCTTTCCTTCTGAGTTAGTGTCTCTTTTTTGCCTGGCTCTCTGTCCCCTGCACCTGGTACTAGCGTCTCCTTCCACGATCTATCTCCTGGAGTACTGAATCTCATCTCCCTAACTCCTCACACTGGGAGATGAGAGCGGGGCTCAGACCAGGGCGGAAGCTCCTCGGCCTCCCTTCTGCTTTACCCCCCAGTTTCCCTCCTCCTGGTAGGTAACACAAGAGCCTAACTCCCTGGGAGGGAGAGGGGCACACTCGGACCTATTTATTAACCACAGTGGCTCTGTCCTGTTGACAGGGGAGGATGCTCTTCCATTGAAAACTCCCCTCTTGCCCTGCTCCCTGTCCCTTTGGGAGGCTCTCTGATCTTTACTCTGTTTGTGGGACCCCCGCCCTCAATTCCACCCATCTGACTCCCTCTCACTGAGCCCAGGATATGGCCAACCCCAGGCCAGGGGACATACGATATTTGACACAATTGCAAGCTTTCAGCCCAGGTCTTCAGACTTGCAGTCCTTTGAAACACGGTGTCTTTTTTTGTGTATCTGTGACATCAAGTGTCATTGTTTAGGTATGTCTTGGCGTGTCTGTCTGTGCCTCTGGTTTGGGAGTTTGGAGGGGGCAGTGAAGAGAAACTTTAGAGTATCTCTGTCATAAGGGTGCAGGTGTGTTCTCCCAGTGTGGGTGTGTCCTGGTGTGATTGGTTTTGGATGGATATGTCTCTCTGTCAGTGTGACTGTACTTGTTTGTCCTGGGTGTGGGTTCATTATGTGACGTGAGTCTGCATGTTCAGGTGTGACACAGCCTTCTGAATATCTCTATCAGTGGGGTACATTAGTGGTGCCTTTGAAATCAGAAACCAAATTCACCTTCGCCGTCTGGGTGGGAGCCTGTGTGAATGCCTGTGTGCCGTGTGAAAATGTATGTGTACACGGGAGCCTACGGCATAACTGGAGGACATGTGCAGGGCATGTAAGGCTGTCTTGAATTATGATCTTTGTTTATGTTTAGTACATGCAGTGTGTGCGTGTGCATGAGCATGCATGCATGCCTTAGGACACATGTGAAGATCAGAGGACAGCTTGCAGGAAGGAGTCAGTTCTCACCTTCCACCTTCTGGGTCTCGGAGATCAAACTCCTGTCACCAGGCTTGGTGGCAAGTGACTTATCCCAGCCTTGGGTTATGATTTTGTATGTTCATACATTGGATTTCTGTATGCTTGGGTTTGTATATACATATGTGTATCTATGCTTGGCTGGTGTGCATGTGTGTTGTTGTTGATTTGTGTGAATTGTGTGTTTCTCCAAGTGTTGGGAAGAATATGAACCCAGACAGTCCTGGTCCCTTGGTAGCTGACACCACCTTGGTGAGAATTCCCCTGGGCATCTGCTGAAGCTCCTCATGACTTGCCAGAGTGCTCTGCAGAGTGAGCTACTGAAGGCATGAGTGTGATGCCGGGGAGGTGCCTGTGATGTGAGGGTCACAACAAGGGTCTTGGTGCTGGGAGATTCCTATCTTCTGTAATCCCAGCGATTGGGAGTGTGAGGCAGGAGAGTAGCCACAAGTTCCAGGTCAGCCAGGCTATAGTGTGTCTCTTTCTCAAAAAAGGGAGAGGTGGGTGGAGGCTGGAGGGTTAGCTTAGCAGTAAGAGCATCCGCTGCTCTTAAAGAGGACCCAGGTTCAGTTCCCAGCACCCGTGTGGGGACTCACAATTGTCTGTAAGCCCAATTCCAGGGCCACTGATAGTGCTTCTGGTCTCTGAGGGCGCTAGGCATGCATGTGGTGCACAAACATACATGTAGGCAAAACATACATATACATACAAAAATGAAAGGAGAGGGAAACAAAAAATAAAAGAGGTTATTTAGCTCTGTGCAGAATCTAGATTCCTCCAGTTTGTTCTTCAACTCTGGCTGCTGGCAGCAGCATCCCAAGCTACTGCCACTGAGGAAGTCAGTAATAAGTCCTGTCTCACAGGACTGTGGCAACAGAGACCTCTTCAGATCCCCATCCACCACTCATCCATTCTTTGTCATCCATCCATCCACTACTCATTCATCCGTCCATCCTTCTAGCCACATCTACTCTCCTATCCTGCCATCTATCTTTCTATTGGTCCATTCATCCACACTTCCATCCATCTTTTCTTTGCTTCATTCATCCAGCTAGTCGGCCTGCCATCTTTCCTTCCATCCACCCAGACAGCCACCTGTCTTTTTTTCAATCCACCCAACCTTCCATCTATTCTCTATTCTTCCATATAGCCACCCTTCCTTTATTTCATCCATGTGTCCATTCACTCATCTTCTCAGTCACCCATACTTTCACCTTTCTGTCCATCCCTCCATTCTTCCACCTGCCTCTCTGTCTATCTATTCATTATCCTGGCATGGTTTAATCCTTCCTTCCATATATATATATATATGGAAGTCCCTCTTTCCATCCGTTATCCACCATCCAACCATCTGTTAATCTACTGTCCACAAATCTGTACTTTCAACATCTATATCTCTCTTGGTTCATTAATTCATCTCTTTATCCATTTAATTTAATTTATTTAACAAAACTACCAGATGGCAAGTATGTCTACACTGAAACAGACCTCCCTGTCCTGTCCCTTTCAGAAGAAATGCTCTGTCAGTGGTAGGATTTAGAGTTAGATATCTGTGAGTTTTGATTCTGGCCCTGCAACTCAACAAACCATATGACCTTGGAGGAAATCATTGACTCTTTCTAAACACCACTTTTCTTATTAGGTAAGGAGAATCCAGAGTCTCTGTTAGACTGTAAGGTCCATGAAGGGGCTGACATTGGAGCTCAGGGCTCGAGTGCTTGCCTGGTGCTCAGCCTTATGTTCAATCTCAGCACCACAAAGACAACCAGCAGCATCTCCAAGGGAGCCTGTGTTTTGCTCATTGCTGCAGCCAATGGCCTGATGTAGCAGGCCATAAATACTTGCCATGTGGCTGAATCTGCAATCACATCTGCGAGATCTTGGATTCTACCTTCAAATGGAAGCCAAAGCCTGAGCACACGGTGGACCTCTATTACAATTACATGCAAGCACACAGTGAGTTTAGGATGAGTGTTTTTCCAGGATGGCTGAATGGGCACAGAATTTGCCATGCAGATGTGAGGACCAGAGTGTGAATTACATGCATGCAGAAGTCAGAGTGCATGCATGTAATTTCAACACTCCTATGGGGAGATGGGGACTGGAGAGTCCCTGGCAGCTCAGGGGCCAGCTAGTCTGGCATGTACAGAGGTAAACAAGAGACCCTGTTTTAAACAAGTTGAAGTGCAAGGACAGACACTTGAAGTTGTCTTCTGACCTCTACATGTGTACCGTGACATGCTCCTGTACACACGATTTTTCACACACACACACGTTATCACACTCCCATACACACATAAAAACACAAGATTAAATATATTCTTCAGGTTTTAAGTCAATTCTGTCTTTAAAATGAGAACAGTAATTCTTTTTAAATTATATTTATTAAGCTGGGCAGTGATGGTGCACACCTTTAATCCCAGCACTCGGGAAGCAGAGGCAGGCAGATCTCTGAGTCTGAGGCCAGCTTGGTCTACAAATCTAGTTCCAGACAGCCAGGCTACATGCATACACACACAGAATTACATGTATTTATTCAGTTTGTGGTGTTTGCTTGGGGAGTGGGTATTTGTGTGCTACAGGGCACATGTGGAGGTCAGAGGACAAAATCAGTTCTCTTCTTCCACCAGGTGGATTTTGGAGAGAGAACTCAGGTTTTCAGGCTTGACAGCAAGTACCTTTACCCACTGAGCTACCTTGCCAGCCCAGGAATGATCATTCTTACCCCACAGAACTGTTGTGGATAATGGAGGCATGATCCCCATTTCTCCATTCATCCATCTTTATAACCATTACTTTTTCTCCATCACATCTTTTGTCTTTCCCTCCCTCCCTCATTCACTCATCTACCCATTCTTTATTTTTTCTGTTCATCCATCCTGTCATCTTTCCACCCTTTGACCCTAAGGGTATGGAAAACAAATTGAGGATGAACAGTCGATACTTAATAATGGGTTGTGGAGAGGGGGTAGAACCCCAACGATGGGGAGGCTTAAGAGGATAAACACAAACACAGTGGGAATTCCTAAGCTATGGCTCAGAAGTTTGGGTGCTATGCTTCAGTGGTGTGACAGTGAGCCCCGATGTGGGATGGGCTTGTCTGTGGGTCTAGCCCCTACCCCAGGCACGGAAGCAACATAGCCTTGTGTTCACAAACCATCTCTGTGAAGAAGAGGGAAGCTGCTCCCTCTACTTTCTCTGGCTGGCTCCCAGCCATAAACCATCCGCAAGAGATGGGAGCCTTGAGCCGAATGGCTCCTCACCTAGGGACCATAAATCCAGACTCAGACTAAAAGCTGACATCTCTGTTGTCAATGGCTGCCATCATAGAGGGCGTGGAGTAAACTATTTGCTT